ACACAACACACCGTCACATCTGCAGTACAGATTAACTCGTGATCATGACTCCTGTGACTAACTCAGTGACAAGGGTGGTACGACTTACTCCACCACCGGATCTGTTCATCGGAAACAGGATGATATAAGCCTAGCTGTGGCCTTTCTCAAGTCCACTTTGATAGCGCGGGACAATGGACGTTACAACAAGCACGATATTATGTTGGATGCTAAGTATTGTACATATTGTACAGTCGCAGGGATATCCACCCCTTCAAGGTAAGTGATTAACAAATCAATTGCACTCAGGCATATTTAACTGTTATACAGAGGTGAGGTGAGGTGAAATTGGGTTTAACGTCGCGTCCAAGATTATTGCACTTATATAGCGACGTGCATGCACGTGTATGTGTGTGTGTGGCTGCTTGTACTAGTCCGGACTGTTGCCGATTTATAGTGCTAGCTCACTGAGATACCATGCCGCAGTTTAACATGAATACCCCACTCAGACACAGTATACTGATTCCGAGCCGACCAGTCCTTGTTTTAGCCCCTTAATGCCGAGCGCCAGACAGGGTAACAACAAGTACCATCTTTTAACGTCTTTTTGTATGACGCGGCCCGGGATCGAACCCTGGACCTTCCGCTCTCCGGGCGGACGCTCTACCACAAGACCACGGAGGCCGTCAACTGTTAGACAGAACCTGCAAACGTATACTAGTCCTGAGTAATAACACAGTAATGTACGGCTGGTCACAATGGTCAGACTGGACCCTAGTGCAACGCCTCACGCATATAAGTCCAGCAACCGAACGCTAAATAAGACGTGCCGAAACTGTGTTTATGGTCTGGTGAACACAGGTCAATGGACGCTCATTAACTCATTGTTCTGTTCACTATTCATTTGATCTATTTGTCAAATTCAACCAAACCTGGTCCCGCAATACACGCACTGCACACGCGTGATTAACGGGTTCCAAACGCGCTGCACACGCTTGTTCAACGAGTGCTCAACTTGTGTGCAACCCGTTGAGCACCCGTATCACGTGCGTGTTACACGCGTTCTCAACGCGTTAAAGGGGACTGGACTTCTTGGGAGTAATGAAAGCATATACAGTAACATAATTACACCGCCTTCGTGGTCTAGAGGTAGAGCGTCCGCCCGGAGAGAGGAAGGTCCGGGGTTCGATCCCCGGCCGCGTAATACCAAAAAACGTTAAAAGATGGTATTTGTTGTTACCCTGTCTGGAGCTCGGCATTAAGGGGCTAAAACAAGGACTGAACGGCTGGGAGTCAGTATACTGTGTCTGAGTGGGGTATTCATGTTAAACTGTGGCATGGTATCTCAGAGGGCTAGCACTATAACACGGCATCAGTCGTGCATGCGCGTCGCTACATAAGTGCAATAATCTTGGACGCGACGTTAAACCTAATTTCACCTCACCCAGTAACATTATTAATCACAAACCCATTGTAGAATTATAGATCATGCTTATGTGATCACTCATTCACTCCAGTAAATAATGTTAGCCTCGGCATATCAGTTAGCTGTACTAATATTCTATGTTGTTTTAGTTGTAAATAACCTCTTAAAGCTAATGAGAACATGTACTTTTAGAGATGACAATTATTTTTCAATTTCATATATATTTCTGTTTAGTTGTTAAGTGTATTTAATGAACAAACGTCAGTTCTAGTATGATGGTATCCGTAAATTTCATGTTCATATTCCCAGTCTGTTCTGTGAAAAAGGGGCAGTAGGGTAGCCTAGTGGTTGAAGCGTTCACTCGTCACGGCAAAGGCCCGGGTTCGATTCGCCACATGGGTATCATGTGTGAAGCCTTTGGCTGGGTCACCCACCGTGATATAGTTAGAATATTGCTAAAATGTGATGAACTTACTCCTGGTGTACCATCTCATGATATATTGAAGGGATAATACTGAAAGTCAGTGAAGCAAAATCCCTAACTTGCAGAACAAAAGACCTCAGTAACAAAAACGGATCGTGATAATTTCTCTGCCATCTTAAACTCTCAATGTTTTACTGCAATTAAAACTCATCTGTGACGTCATTCTATTGAGTGAGCGCTCTATGTTTTTAAAATCTTTCCGAGGAAAGAGAGTGAACTGACTTTAAAAGTCCAGTTTCCACCCTTGCCGAGGCTGGAATTCCTGGCCTCGATCGTAGCGCCACCAGTGGTTATTACGATTTATGTCCCTTCTAAACCTCTCCTCTGGACCAATCAGATTCCTACTCTCTGTATCACTGGCATTTGATTCAAACAAATTAGCGGCGCCCAGTCAAGGCGATAATCAAGATCTATATTGTGATAAAACGGGTCTTACATCGCAAAGTGCATCAAATCACGTGAGCACCTTGTTTAAAATCATGAAAAGATTTGAAAAATGTCTGTTGACAAAGAGTTGGCGGTACACATGCTTTGCAAATCCTGCAATCAACCGAAATCTGCACGACATTTTACGAACCGGATTTCGATTTCGTTGTGCGATTTTGATTGGACTATGCATAGACTCGTTAGCCCAACCAAAATGTAGCTCCATAATACCAGTCTACTTCGGCAAGGTCGGAAACTGAACTTTTGAAGTCAGTTAACTCTCGTGCCTCGGGAAGGTGTGTTTTTAATGAATGGAGAGTTGATTGTGTTCTCTACCGCTGTTGCTCGTGCTCCTTCGCGAGCTGATCTTTACAACACATGTTTGATGGTTCTTTAGAATGTTTTATCAAAGCGTAAAAGTAGGGATGTGTTTTAAGTAGGGGATATCCTCAGAACTCTCAATTCCATTATTTTTAAGCAATGAAGAGTTACTCGTACATTCCGCCCTACATAACATCTGCTTTAGTACTTGATTGGCTATATATATAATAATAATTTAGCTGTAAATTAATCTATCCTGTGAACACACACATTACAGAACAGATTTAATAGTATTGTTTCCGACTATCTCTGTAACGTGACAGGCAAAAGAAAGAATTCAGAAATGTTTTATAGTGGCTGCGATTGAAATAAACGAGAACCGGGCTAGAATCGGCCATCAGCAACACATGCTTGTCGTAAGAGGCGACTGAAGGGATCAGCGGAACTTGATTGATGCATGTCATCGTACCCCATGTCATCGATGCTCATGACGTCAGTCACTGGATTTTGCGGTCCAGGCTCGATTATTTGCTAACTTACGTCAATATTAATATCCCTTCATCCCTTATGAGATGGGGCACCAGGATTACGTGACCACATTGAGCCTAAGTTGACCAACGAACCCGGATTTTTGTGACGAGCAACGACTTGAACCACTGGCCTGTTCAACCGCCTTATATATAATTCTGCACAGTGACGAATGGCCATTTAAATTTCTTTCAGATACTAAATACGTACGGGATGGAGGGAATATCACTTTGTTCTGGAACTTACCCCTAGTGTTATCGAATGAGTTCACAGTAAGGGGTCCTTCCATGTTCAACAGTATATTTCACGTAATTAACTTTTCCCAACCAACACTTGTTAATGAGACCTATGGGAGTCGAGTGCATGATGTCACGGTTATGGGAGGATCAGAAAGAGTGTTTTCCTTCCTATTAACGGATGTCAGTATGTCTGATGGAGGTACCTACAGCGTGTTCACCGGCTCACCAAACACTGCCGGTAGAGAGGTTCAGAGTTGTCCACTTGTTGTCACGCGTGAGTACTTTTTCAGTTTCATGTTTGTGTCATGTTCGTATTTGTATTAATGTCACGTAGCTCTTCGCTGATCAAAATATTCTATGGACAGACCTAATAGAATTCACATGACTCCTTTTCTCAGCGTGGTAACAATCTAAGTAGAAGACATTTGGAATTATATATTAGAGATTATTGTTTTACACATCAATATTCCAACTATAAGCATGTAATACCTGGCGACAGGACAAACCTGTGATTTACTTCATAACGTCGGACCCGTGAAGATTCCGGGGTAGAATTGGTCTTCAGGAACCCATGCTTGCCGTAAAGGTGACTGTGCTTGTCGTAAAAAGGCGACTAACGGGATCGGGTGATCAGGCTCCCTGACTTGGTTGATGCATGTCATCGATCCCAATTGCGTGGCTCGATGCTCATGATGTCAATCACTGGATTGTCTGGTCCAGACTCGATTATTTACAGACCGCCGTCATATAGCTGGAATATTGCTGAGTGCGGCGTTAAACAACCAACCAAATAACCAACATAGCGCCGTCGAGGTATGAGTCTACAAAATCAACCCAATGTCACCGAGCCTGATCACACAATCCAATTTAGTCGCATCTTACAACACGCAACGAGTGCAAGGTAACTGAGTAAGGGTGAATATTTTGTAAGACGATTCATGAAACAAAAGTTGTCCTCACGTTTGGTCGACAAGTATATTATTTTGCATATTTGAGAAAGACAAACTAAAACTGCACCACTTTACATAGTTTCTCCAAATCGTATTCCTGACACAGTTGTTTTACCGGTGCTACTGGCAGGGCAGGACCTACCCTCTTCGCGAACACCTGGTGTCATCACTGATTTTCAGTGGTCCATCCATATAATTTACAAATCAATTTTGTCCTTTACGCCAAATGGAATTTGTTTCGGCGGATAATCTGGACTGATTATTCTCTTGCATTGACAATGATATTTACGAATGTGAATCCAGATAGAACTGACCAAGGGTCTGACGAGTCATCTCAATTTTGTTAGGATAGGATTTATGGATGAACAACGTCTTTATTACAATTAGGAGCGACGTTTCGGTGTAGGTTCTAACACCGTTATCGAGGGTCTCACTTCTAAATGCCTATCAAAGAAGTTATTTGTCGTCTTCATGGAGACGTGGCAATCTCGACCATCAACCGACTCAGCTGCATTGTGGACAAGTACATCCACTCATCCAACCACCTTACGTTCTTGATGCGATGCAGAGACAACACGTAATTACCTTTTCCCAACCAACACTTGTTAATGAGACCTATGAGAGTCGAATACGTGATGTCGCGGTTATGGGAGGATCAGAAAGAGTGTTTTCCTTCCTTTTAACGGATATCGGTATGTCTGATGGAGGTACCTACAGCGTGTTCACCGGCTCACCAAACACTGCCGGTAGAGAGGTTCAGAGTTGTCCACTTGTTGTCACGCGTGAGTACTTATTCAGTTTCATGTTTGTGTCATGTTCGTATTTTTATTAATGTCACGTAGCTCTTCGCTGATCAAAATATTCTATGGACAGACTTAATAGAATTCACATGACTCCTTTTCTCAGCGGGGTAACAATCTCTCGTTCTTAAAGGCCTACAGCTGAGAAGCCCTGTCAACTCACCAGCAGCACGCACCATCCTCCAGAAAGCCTCACAACATCTCGTCATAGAACGGATACGCCACCATCGCAAGACCAAGTCCTTCACCTTGGATCGCTTGTTTGATAACGGTGTTAGAACCTACACCAAAACGTCGCTCGTAATTGTAATAAAGAAGTTGTTCATCCATAAATCCTATCCTTACTTAGTACTCCAACTTCTAAATGCTGATCAAAGAGGTTCTCAATTTTGCATTTCCTTAAAATATCTCTATCTCATAAACGTCACGGTTGCTATTCGTATTACTGCCAACCCTTGCTTGCCGTAACAGGCGACTATACTTGTCGTAAGAGGCGACTAACGGGATCGGGTGATCAGGTTCGTTGACTTTGTTGACGTATGTCATCGTATCCCAATTGCGTAGATCGATGCTCATGATATCAATCACTGGATTGCCAGGTCTAGATTCCATTTTTTACGGACCTCCGTCATATGGCTGGAATATTGCTGAGTGTGGCGTTAAACAACAAACAAACAAATCGAATAACTGAATCCTTACTGTTGTTTGATGAATGTTATTGCTTCCTATATGTTCACAGATGTCGTGGACCCGTATATAGTGGCAACAGATACTGTTCAATACAGAAGGAGTCTTACCTGCTACTCCTTCACAGTCATGAGCGGCGAGGGTTCCCTGACCACGTCCCATAGTTGGCGGAAGAACAATTTGCCGTTGGAGAGTGGAAGGAAGTATGACATCACGTCATATGATGGTAGATCGTACAACTGGGAATACTATCATGTCAGTACACTTGCTGTCCGCGACGTGAGGGAGAGCGAGATGGGAGACAGATACTTGTGTCAAGCTACAGTCGACAAGTTGATGGTGACTGTACTGAGTGAGGAGAAAACCTTCCGGACGACCCGTGAGTAGTATTACAGTCATATCCCTCTTTATCTCTCTGTTCATCACGCTCTCTTTCTCTCAACATATAACATCGTACGTTACTCCCAGCTGACACGCCTTATTATAATTGAAACTCACTCTCATTCAACACGGAAGTGTTTCCCTGTTTGTCTCTCTGACTCTCTTTCTTTTCCCTCAACATCTGCGTTTGTCTCCGTGCATCTCTCCCCCCACCCCCCTCTTTCTCCCTCTCCGCTCTCTCAATCTGTCTCTGTATTTCTGTCTCCCTGTTGCCGCTTCCCCACTCTTATCTGTGACTACCTTAGCCCCCCCCCCCCCCCCCCCCCCCCCCCCTCTCTCTCTCTCTCCCTCTCTCTCTCTCTCTCTCGTTGTGTCTAAGATCCGGATTGCGAATAGGTCTTCAGCAACCCATTCTCCTTGTAAAAGGCGACTAACGGGATCGGGTGGTCAGGTTCGTTGACTTTTTCAATTTTGTCATCATATCCCAAATGCGTAGATCGATGCTCATGATGTCAATCACCTAATTGTCTGGCCCAGACTCGATTATTTACAGACCGCCGTCAACAAACGAGCAAGCTCTCGCTGTGTCCTTCTCTTCCTTTCATTATATGAATATCACAACACCTCTTTTGTTTTGCAATTGCATATTGCCTTAATTATGTTGATCTATTTCAGCGGCCCTGACTGATTTTCCAAGCACCACAGTGATGAAGGAAACGGATAACGTCAATGTAACTTGGAACATTCCCAGACACGACTACGATTTCTATGTCTGCCATCACTCCGGGGATCTTATATTGCACGTGAACGAGACTATGATTTATATTATGGACAAATATTGGTCGCGAATCAAGATATCAGACGTATCGACTACATCGCATTCTCTCATTGTGCAGTTTACTCTTTACAACGTTACATCATCTGATGCCGGCAAGCTTGACTGCAGGGTATACCACAAAGAGTGGCACATTCTTCCAGACTGGCACCACATGCTGATTCTCGCACGTAGGTATAATTTATGGACATTTGTGGCCAAGGTGCCTAAGGCACCGCAGTTTTGCATGGTGAACAACGTCCCTTAAACGTACAAGAAACCAATGTGCGTGAGTTCGAATCCCTGATTATGTTTCGAGGTTTCTCCCCACCATACACTTTGTCTTTTGTCTTATGATAGCGGAAAATGTATGAGTCCTGCTTCGGGCTTTCCTTCCACATTATGAGGACGCGCCAGGACATGACTGAAGTACTTTTTCAAAAGCGAAATTAGACCAAATTCAATCACTCAGAACCTGTTTAAGCATAATCATCATGTCTCGAACATGTGTTCACTGCAATCTAATTCACTCGTTCACACTATGTACAGATTTAAACACTACAATCTATTTTTCTAGTTTGTTTGTTTGTTTGTTTAGTTGTTAAACGCCGCACTCAACAATATTCGAGCATTATGACGGCGGTCAGTAGTTGGTAGCATGACTACAGGACCACTTTTGACCTTTGACCTCTGATGGCGTCATCAGGTCACGACCTCAAGGTCACTTCCGTTTCCGGTGGCGTGCCTCCAACATGGCGTCACGTCCGGTTCCGATGGTGCGTGCGCATCGAAGATGGCGGCACATTCGTTTCCGGTGGCGTGCGCATCCAAGATGGCGGCATGTTCGTTTCCGCGGTGGTGGTGGTGGTAGGTTCTTTGTTTTGGTTTGAGGGTCGTCAAAGCCATGGATGAAAGCATTCTTTCGGGAGAGATGGGTGGCCCTGAAAAGGGCCGTTCAGAAACAAACTGGAAACTGGAAACGACAGGATACTGTAGGAACACTGGAAAAACTGGAAACTGGAAAAACAATGGAGCAGCATGTCCGATGCGTTAGTCACTTTGCCCAGATGATCTGTCTTCATCTTCTTCCTCCTCCTCTTCCTCGGACTGATGACGTCGTCGACGCTTTGAAGGGTGTTTTCTTGAGGGGCTTCTGTCCCATTTTCTTTTCCCTATACGTGGTGTGTTGCCCGCATGGAGTTGTGTGATGCATGCTTTTATGGCACAGACTTCGATATGCATGGCTATGAGATGAAGCACTTTTGTCACTGGTGTCACTGGTGTCACTGGTGTCGACATGGACGGCGCTGCTGAAGTTTTCTTTCGACTGGGTTCTGGACAATCTGCAGCGAAATGACCCACGACTTGACAGTTTGAACATGGGCCCTGGGGAGACTTCTACTTATCTTGATTGCTTATCTTCGGACAGACATAGTGGCGGAGACCTTGATTGTGGCACTCGGTACATGTCACTTCAGGGAAGTACAGGTAACTATGACTGTCGGTCTGACACTTCATGCAGCTGTATCGAGACGACATGGTTGATTTCATAGAATGCAAGGTGTGTGAGTTCGCTCTTGTTTTTATAGGAAAGGGACTGACACCCTGCTTCCTGATTGATTGGCCACGCAGCGCCCCCGATTGGTTCGTTCCGGCGCCTGGTCTGCCCAGGGCAAAGTAGGCCTCTCATTGGTCAAAAACCCAGGCTTCTGATTGGTCAGATTTCGATCTGTTTTTTGGGGTGTGTGTGTGCCTTTCGACCCTGTTTTGTTTTTTCTCTATCCTACAGACAACATTACATTTATGTTTGTTCAACTTTTTAATTCCCCCGCTCTCATGAACCAACACAACAAAACAAAAGTCACAGGATTAGGGGCGTCCCTGTGATTTTTGTGAACACTAGGGTGACCACGAGGGTATGAACGTCTGTAAACTTTGGAAAAAAGAAACTTTGTCACTAGGGGTGAACAAAAAATTCGACTCTTCTCTTCCGTGCTTCTTGGGACACCAAACGTCTGTATTTTTCGTTCACTTCTCCATCAGGACAAAACACACACAAGTATTCGCAGGGGACTTTGGCGTTTCACACCGCAGCAATAACAGATAACACGGTCACTTCGTCCTTGATAGAAATAGCCAGCCATGACCATGTCATAAGGGGTCTGGGTCATCTGTTTAGGCCACGTTTGAAAAGACCTCAGACGTTCTTGAAATGAATCATAGTTAGGATGAGAAGGATGACACAAGGTGTAAGAAGGAAAAGGTCCCTCCAGAATGTCACTGATTCGCCATGTGTCGTCCATCAAGAGTGTGTCCTCCATAAAGAGTTTGCGTTTTCTTGCTTCTTCTCTCACCTTTTCAGACACCCCCTTGGTATCGGGGACATCTCGGGATGATGGCATGGCATTCATAGATCGTCTTTGTCCTATGATGACTGTGGCTCAACTGAAGGAAGGTCTGGGGGTTCGCCTGCTTTTATGAAAGTCTCTCCATCCCATAGGATCGACACATACACGAGGGGTAATTCGGATCTCGAAAACAGGCGGGCGCGTACGCGATGGTCTTGCAATGTGGTGGGCTTCAAGTCCAAGAACAGGTAAGTGTAAGGCTCTCGGGTAGCGTCTTCGTAGGCTTCACGACGAAAAGGAACTTTGCCTGGAAACACCTGGCGAGCCAGACTGTCGATCTGCGATGCATCTCTCGGATTTTTAAAGAGGACCATGTAGTGAGCATTCAGACTGATAGTGCGATATTGCGGCGATTGAGCAAACAAGTTCTGAGTGAGATACAGCAAGGATGTACTTCGGTGATGACTTTTCTTGGTGAACCATCGCAGCACTTCCGTTTCTTCTTCTTTCGTATTGTCCCCCAGCAAATCATTGATGACCAGCCAATGCGGGGCCACCCCTTTTTCGGGCAAGGCACGATCCGCTTCTTTCATGCTGTGCACAAACTCAAGAGCGACCCCTAAGCTGTCTGCCATCACTTCCAGCTCATTATGAAGAGGTTGTCATTCGCTGTACACCCACACGATGCGATGGGGTGGCGTATCCAACACCTCGGGGCAATGCATCTGCTCCATACATGATTTCACAAAGGAACTTTTTCCTGATCCCGTGGGTCCCACAATGAACATCGAAAAACGATGACGTAGGGTCAAAGGGGAGGTCACGACCTCTTCATCATCTTCGTCATCATCATCATCATCATCACCATGTGACGTCATCCTGTGTTCGGTGTGACTGACACACGGCAGCGGCGGGGGTGGAGGTGGTGGCGGTGATGTCACAGGTCTCATAGGTGACGGTGTCCGGCACCCTATTGGAGTTGAGATCAATCAAGACACAAAGAGTCAGTTCAATCAACAACAACAACAACCAGATACATAGGAAATATGAAAAGGCAACTGAGGAGGGACTGCTTTGCATGTCGCAACAACAACAACGCGAAATCTTTACATCTTCCATCTTCAAGCTCTTCGAGTGAAGATGGGGTCACCATAAGATGTGGTCCTCCATCATACTGTCCCAAACAGGTCCCAACCATGTTAGGGACCCATCAGTAACACAGGTAAAGTCTATGGCCTCCCTGAAACAGACATGACACATCACTTGACCACTGTTGCAGCTTATGTATCTCAGTATATTGTTGTGCCGACAGGCACTACATTCACGTTGTAGTGAAGTGAGTTGAGCTTCTCCATAAGGATCCTGGCCATCGTTGTCGTCATCGTTGCAAACTATGGGCATACCTGAGAAGAAGACATCCTCTGGTGATGCTGGTGACCAAGAAGCATCAAGCAGGCAGGGTGTGTCAAGATCCATGGAAGGGAGGGCTGTCAGCTTGAGCGCTTCATGATCATCACCGTCACTGGTCATCATCACAGGCGCCATCGGCGAATAGGTTGGCTCCCGAGGGATTTGTTCCCACCACTGTTCTAACACGGACTGCGCTATCATCATCATCATAACGGCATACACATCCCAAAGAATAGCATGGTACTTACAGCTGTCTTCAGAGACAATTTCTTCGTGGTCGTCTTTTTGCAGGTGTTGCAAGTTTCAAAAAGGATGTCTCTTTCGTTTCGTTGTCTGTTGCTGTGGTGGTGGCTGCTGCTGTGGTGGCAGCTGCGGTGGTGGCAGCTGCTGTGGTTGCTGCTGCTGCTGTTGTTGATACTGCTGCTGGTTTGTTTGTTTTTTTCTTCTGGGTCTTCTTTATCGTCTTCTTCGGTGCTACTTTCTTGGGTTCAGTCAGTTTCCTCATCTTCGAACGTATCATGTCGCACATCACTTCGTCGGCCTTCGCACGTAACTTGGCGTACACGTCGTCGGCCTTTATCTTCGCACACTTCACGTCGTACATTTCACCCCACAGTTCAGTGGTCATTTCACCGTTCCCATCTCCACTCCCTTTACCACCCTTTCCCTTTATGTCGCTCCGTGCATTCATTAGTTTCGACATGATGTTGTCCGGATTTTCTGTTCGTTGTTTCTTTCCAAGTCTTCACGGATGAATGTCAACACTTGATGGTACTCTCTCCAAACACGTGTTTCTTCCAGATAAAAACGCCAACAGGCAACACAACGTGAGGAACATCAATCAGAGGGACGATGTTGTTGCTTGGACCGTTCAGTGAAAAGTGATGACCGGAGAGCGTCTGTCAGTTTTAAGACACTGACACCTTGCTTCCTGATTGGTCCGTACCGGTCCCTGGTCTGAGCCTCAATTTTTCCAAACTGGACCGACCCTTGTGTGTCTTTTCCATAGGAAATGGATTTTACCATGGGAGAGAAAAGCACAACCTCGTTTCGACCAATCAGAGGGCTGCCCATGGCAAATGCGGCCTCTGATTGGTCGAAAACCCAGGGTTCTGATTGGACCCTCAAACTAAAACAAAGAACCCACCACCACCACAACCACCACCACCTCCAACTCCCTCCACCACCACCACCTTCACCACCACCACCACCACTTCTTTTCTTCTTTTTTTTTGTATTTTACAGGCGCTTCTTTCAATTTTGATATTTTCTTATTGTACGAGCGCTTCTTAGGGTCCCCCTCCTCCCAGGAAACGGATGGGCCGCCCTCTTGGAGCTGCGCACGCCTCCCCGAAACGGACATGCCGCGATCTTAAATGCGCACGCACCACCGGAACCGGACGTGACGCAATGTTGGAGGCACGCCACCGGAACCGGAAGTGACCTTGAGGTCGTGACCTGATGACGTCATCAGAGGTAAAATGTCAAAAGTAGCCCTGTAGTCACGTACCAACTACTGCGTTCTATATAGTCGAGTCTGGACCAGACAATCCAGTGATTGACATCATGAGCATCGATCCACATAATTCGGATACAATGAGATGCATCAACAAAGTCAGCGAGCCTGACCGCCCGATCATGTAAGTCGCCTCATACGACAAGCACAGTCGCCTTTTTTATGACAAGCATGGGTTGCTGAGGCCCAATCCTCCCCGGATGCTCACGGGTGTGTTATGTTACTGGTGAAAATGTTGGCAAATATAGTATGGTTATTTGAGAGATTCTTTGTGTTAGCGCTACGTTTCTAGTTTACACATCACACAACAACCTAGTACGTGGCAAAAACAGTTTATGGATTTCTTGTTGTCCCTTAGGTGTAAAGTTTAAAGTGAACGCCTGAAAAAAATCCGTCCCGAATATCTGCTGAAACACTTTCTTTTGGGTATAAACGACTCCATAAATGTTGTTTTTCTCTATTTCCAGTTCTTTAACCCATCCAAGCAAAATGTTTTGCCTTCATAATAGAAACATATGTATAATATACAACCATTACAGGTAAGCCAGAGGACCCGCATATATACAGCAGTGGATCTGTGATCGCAGGGAAACCGCTGATGTTGATGTGTTCAACGCTATCAAAGAGTCTGCCAGTGGATCATGGTCAAAGAATGTCTTACACTTGGAGGAGAAACAGCCTCCTGCTCGAAAGTACAAACAAATACCATTATACAGGTTCTACTCTCATCATCGGCGCTTTCCAGGACGAATGGCACTACAGAGGCAGGTACTCGTGCCAGGCCAACGATTTGGATGAGGTTTCAAACTGGAGCGCTGAATACGCCGTGGAAGAAACTTGTATGTATACATTTATTTCCCGTTCTTACTGACGCCTGACCGCCTCCGTGGTCTAGTGGTAGAGCGTCATACCAAAATACGTTAAAAGATGGTTCTCTCTGGCGCTCGGCATTAAGTGTCCAAAACAAGGACTCGTCGGCTCGGAGTCAGTATACTGTGTCTGAGTGGGGTATTCATGTTAAACTGCGGCATGGTATCTCAGTGAGCTAGCACTATAAATCGGCATCAGTCCGGACTAGTACAAGCAGCCACACACACACGTGCATTCACGTCGCTATATAAGTGCAATAATCTTGGACGCGACGTTAAACCCCATTTCATCTCACCTCACCTCATGTACTTGTCTTCTTTACCCTGCCTGGTTCACGGCATTAAGGGGATAAAACAAGAACTAGTGGGCGGTTGGGCGGCAGTATACTGTGTCTGAATCTATGGGGTATCTATGTACATCTAGATCTGGGCATGGTATCTGAGTGGGCTAGCACTATAACACCGGCAGAGTGAGTGAGTAAGTTGGGTCTAACGCCGCTTTTAACAGTGTTCCATTTATATCACGGCGTGTCAGCTTAAAGTGGGAGGAAAGCCCAAAGTGATGCAGTTCTCAGACGTTTACCACCGGTGAAACCCACGAGCACGGGTATGGTGCTCACAAACCTAGAGACATAATCGGGGCGAACCGAAATTCGAACCCACAATCATAGGTTTCTGGCGTGCCCAAAGGACGCAACTCTGCAACGAACACCGGCAGAAGTCCGGACCAGCACAATCAACCAAACAGACATGGAACATATGAGAGCAATATTTGCGAACGCAACGTAAAACCGCATTTCACCACACTTCAGAATTTCCATAGTCTGTCGCTCATATAAACATGAATCGACGTGTCCCTCTTTGGAGACAAAATTGTTTCACCCATTGGATGACAAAGTGTGTTTTAAAACATGATAAACATTCACAAATGACTCGGTCACACTCGGTCAATTAAGAATTGATCAGTTAGTCTGACACATACGAGTGTCACAAAGTGTGGGTAGTATTAACAAACGTCGTTATAATGTTTGGCCAAGCCAATCGTGTGTTATCATCTCAAGATGGCCACAATTAGCCAAGACACGTGTGTTTACAGGACATTGTGATATATTTGGGGTATTAAACGATAAACTTCATTCATTCACAAATGATCGGTTGCTACCTTGTGTTTGCTTACACCTTAATCACTCGAGTTCATTATTCCTCAACAGATACAGGAGCAACGGTGATATTTGTGATATTAGGCTCCTGTGTTGCCGTGCTGGTGCTTGTCACAGTCACTGTTGCCACCTTTTGCCATGCTTACAACGTACTAAAAGGTAAGACAGTTGCCTCGGGGTTATTATTATAGGATATATATTGACAAAAGTGCACATTTGCAAAAAGAGAGCTAATTGTAACTTAGAACTTTGTTTTAATTGTGGACAGGGCGTAAGCAGGACGTAAATATGTTTTTAGCATGCGTCAATATGCAAATACAATTTACATGAATGTGTGTTTTTTTCTCACAATTACATCGCATTGTGCATCTTTTGGTAAAAACAAATAATGTTTTGTTTCACCATTTTGCAGACTCCTTTCACTCAACGTAAGTATTTCCACACTGTTTCCACACTGTTTCCACACTCTGGACTTTGAGAACATTAGGCACATGTCGTATCTCCAAGACTGATTCTCTGACAGATGTCAATAAGTAGTAGATTTTGACTACCTTATAGGGTGCTGTTCCTTTGCCAAGATTTAAAACGTAAACGTATTTGGGCAATATTTTTTACTAAGGTTTGATTGCTTTGTCATGACATATATTTTCTTTCAGTGGCATTTAGAAGTTGGTGTGATGAAGTAAGACGAGTTTTATGGATGAACAACTTCTTTATTACAATTAGTGCGACGTTTCGGTGTAGATCCTAACACCTTTATCAAGCAAGTGATTGATGAAGGTGTCAGGATCTACACCGGAACGTCGCACTAATTGTAATAAAGAAGTTGTTCATCCATAGAACTCGTCTTACTTCATGACATATATTGACTTACTTGAATAGAATAACATTTTCCTTATCGCGCAGTTAGTACGTAACACAGTGCTTTATTAATAAGTATCATAGACAAAGCAAATGATTTGTGTTCATGCATCTTTGTAAGTAATCCTTGAAACACTCTTGGTTGAAACTGTAATAATTCAGTAGCAGGACACATTCCTCAATACGCCAATGTCCCGAAAGGTAACAACATACACATGAATGAAGCCTGTTTATGAATTGAAGTCAAATTAAGTGAACGAAGAAATGTTTAGACATTTGTACTTGGACTTTTATACCTGGAAAAGTCCAGTTCTTGAACTGAGGTAACCTAGTGTCGCCTACAGTTTGTTTGGCTCCAAATGAGAACGACGAATTGCAACATAACTGATAATCGGGAATAGAATATTGAATGCCAGTGCGATACCCAACAATATCGGCTATTTGTTATTTTTATTCCCAGCAGTGATGGTCACAACCGTTGTTGGGACTGTTGCTTGCTGAAGTCCATCACGTGACCAGTATCTTGAATATGTCGTTGACGATATTTGTAACGTTAACGCTGCCAGTGTGCCGTACTGGTATTTAATAGACTATTTCCAATTTTGAGTAATGTTGCAATTCATCGTTTTTATTGGAACCAAACAGACTGTAGTTATGATTTGGAACTACGTAGATCTTGAAATTAGATATAAATGATTTATATTTGTGTACATTTGTGTTAAATATTGATTCGTTGCATTTTCAGATCTGTTGATAATTACATAACACCTGTGGCAGACACGGGGATTTCTGTCGACGATGTTGAAGTCAATACCTATGAAATGATCGATGTAGGAAGTCGTGTTGATCAAATCACTCCCATCCCAAATCAGTCTGATGTGGGCAGCTCTGACCAAAAGGAACCGTCATCTGATGACGGCGGACAAGGCGATTCCCTTGATAGAGTTATTGATGATCCATCGATGTCTCAATCACATGTCTACTACACCACGTCTGTGAAGGACAGGCGCCCCCAAACAGATGCAGCGGGTTACTTACCGTGGAATGAAGCTAAGGGGCTGCTTATACGTGAGGAAAATGGTGGACCAAACTACTCACACATTTGTGACGTCATGGACCTTAATGAGGCGGATTTCACTTCCGGGTCAATCACAGTTATTAGGGATCCCCTCACTCCTCAAGCGCATACATATTACAATGCTTCAGAGAATACAAAACGCCCTCAAACAGACGCAGCTGGTTACTTGCCGTGGAATGAAGCCAAGGGTATGCTTATTTGTGAAGAAAATAATGCAACTGAACACCACAACAATATCGATGAAGTTTTTTATTCAGATGGAAGTAATGTGAAACAGACAAATTTAAACTTTGAAAATGAGTTTAATGAGTAGTGCCTCACTGATCATAATCATTCCAAAGCTTATATATGGATGTGTTATGTCAGTACACTATAGGGTAAGCTTGGTTTGTCATTACCAGATGAGCAAATCGTATGCTCAGTATGTCCTATTGCTTGATGAACATCAGTTTGAGATGGACAGCAATCATAAATATTTTTACTTACCCTATTGTCTCACCATTTATGTCTGCAATTTCAACATTTTCTGTAATGCAAGAAAATAATGTTTTCTGTTGTCTAGAAATACACATGTTTGATCACAGAGAAACTTGTAGTTTTTCATATGGTGTCATCACGGAGAAACTTGTAGTTTTTCATATGGTGTCATCACAGAGAAACTTGTAGTTTTTCATATGGTGTCATCACAGAGAAACTTGTAGTTTTTCATATGGTGTCATCACAGAGAAACTGTTAGTTTTTCATAAGGTGTCATCACAGAGAAACTTGTAGTTTTTCATATGGTGTCATCAAAGAGAAACTTGTAGTTTATCGTATGGTGTCATCACAGAGAAACTTGTAGTTTTTCATAGGGTGTCATCACAGAGAAACGCGTAGTTTTTCATATGTGTCATCACAGAGAAACGTGTAGTTTTTCATATGGTGTCATCACAGAGAAACTTGTAGTTTTTCATATGGTGTCATCACAGAGAAACTTGTAGTTTTTCATATGGTGTCATCACAGAGAAACTTGTAGTTTTTCATATGGTGTCATCAAAGAGAAACTTGTAGTTTATCGTATGGTGTCATCACAGAGAAACTTGTAGTTTTTCATATGGTGTCATCACAGAGAAACTTGTAGTTTTTCATATGGTGTCATCACAGAGAAACTTGTAGTTTTTCGGCAGATATTGGAGGCTGATCTTTACCTGGATTTGACGTTATAAAAATAACAGTCGTAGGTAAAGATGGCGAAGGAATTGGCATATATTCATACGCTATTCAGTCGTTGATTGTCAGGTAAGGTATGAAGTCATGAAACTGTTAGATAAAAAGTACACTGTTTCTGACGGCATTTGGAGACGACGTCTAATCTGTCATCAATTCAGTGACTGAAATTCATGTTACTAAACTTCAGGGCAAAGGAGTGAGTGAGTGAGTGAGTTTTGGTTTTACGCCGCTTTTAGCAATATTCCAGCAATATCACGGCGGGGGACACAAGAAATGGGCTTCACACATTGTACCCATGTCGGGATTCGAACCCGGGTCTTCGGCGTTACGAGCGAACGCTTTAACCACTAGGCTACCCGACCGCCCCTGCAGGGCAAAGGAAAGCATACACTTGAAAATAGGATTTGACCGAACAGTAAGAAAGGTTAGAAAGCGCTACGAGGCTGAAAACAGTCACCGAAACACTGCAAACGTAAGGGTCAAAACAACACGGTTGATACTCGTATGAAATACCTCACCGTCGAATTATTACATCGTGTTTGTTTTAGTTTTAGCCACCATCAAACATCGATGTGTATGTTTTTTGTTTGCCCGGCAGTATTTTAGGGATAGTTTATCTGTTTATGTGATCGGAACATAGACATCAATTGGATTGAAGAGGAGAAGCCATTAAAAGCTTTATCATGACCTTGAAGAGTGGGATGCCAAATAGGGTAACAGTGATACACTGCGACGGCAGAAGTGCCAATTTGGAGTAAGGTGATTGTCAAATAGTGATTGTGAACATCAATTGATCTATTGACATCAGTTGATTGTATATAGGTATATACGTGATATAAACTTCGTAGTGGCATCTAACTACGGACGTGGATGCACGTGTGTGTGGCTTCTTGTACTTGTAATATATATACCGATTTTATTGTGCTGGTAGTGCCGCAATTATGGATACCCCATCCATACACATTGTACTCACTCCAAGCTGACCAGTACATTTGACCCCAGTAACGCCGCGCGCCTGGCAAGATAAAATCAAGACCATCTTTTAACGTCTTTTGGTTCGAGGCTGCCAGGGGGCTCGAACCACCGACCTCCCTTTGTAGATAGGAAAAAGCACACGTCTTTAATACCTTTAGTACAGTATACAGTTGTCAAGCATTAGTTAAGAAAATGTAACTTATTATGTACAAACGCAGATCTAAATTTCTATGTTTTTATCAGAGAATGGTTTCCTCTGAGGCGAACGTAGAATACTAACTGTACATATTACAATGGATATTGAACTTGTTATTTATTAACAGAATACACCAAAAAATCAAAGTACACTTTATATGACATTAACCATACTTTTGTGAAAGTCAGCAATTAGACATAAATGCATTAAAATTGATAATTATCCCCCATCATTGACTTGAGACACCAGGTATTCTTGAATGTTCTTCATTGATATGTATTCTTGAGATTTAGACTTTAGTCTTTTGTAAACGATGTAAAACGGAGAATGGTTTCCGTTCCTGAGGCTAATATAGTATATTGGCTGTACGTGTTTCAATTTAACATTTGATACATCATTAAGTAAGTGACACATGACAAATATACATTTCATAGTGTATATACAATATAAACGATGATGTTAACGTTTGAAAATCATTCTGCTTTTTCTAAATGGAGCGAGTGAGTTGGGTTTAACGCCGCTTTTAACAGTAGTCCAGTCATATCACGGCGTGTCAGCTTCATGTGGGTGGAAAGCCCGAAGTGATGCAGGTCTCAGACGTTTACCACTTCGGTGAAACCCACGAGCACGGGTATGGTGCTGACAAACCTAGAAACATAATTGGGGTGAACCGGGATTCGAGCCCACAATCATAGGTTTCTGGCGTGCCCAAGGGCCGCAACTCTGCAAAGCGAATCGCGGCGCCTTAGACGACTGGGCCACCCGTGCCCCCTTTTCTAAATGGACACAGCTTGTTACTTGAAATATCGTATCTATCACAATATGTAAGTGTTTAAACGAAGTAAATACGACCATTGTAATACACCGTGTTCCGATTTTCCGCATTTCGTCGTCGCACATTGAACACAGACAGGGATATTCCAATGACGATCACCAAAGACACAACCGATACCCCAGTGACGACTGGGAGTGCATAGCCATCTGAAAAAAAAGAATAAAAAATAATTATTATAATGTTATCGTTATAATGTTTAAATGTTGTATATTTAATTTCATTTTAGAGGTTGTGATCAACGTTTTCAAATTTAATATGTATTATCAACATAATATAGAATTGTAGAATTAATACGTCCATCAGGTATATTTTTAGTAAACATAAGTCGAAAAGGCTGACACTCTCAGTGACACTTTTATGAGACCTGTGTTCCCATTGACATGCATGTTTGCACACACACACACACACACAATCACTCACACTCACACACACACTCACACATTTATACCTTGTGGCTCTGTATTAGTGACAATGATTGTTCCATTTGTTGTTGCTACCATTTGACCTGCTGTAGCTATAAGGAGAAGAACGGAAAGCATTCATAATAACGTACATAATATTATGATGATAAATAAGACTTGAATTCGTCTAGAGGGAAATGTCATGCATACCTAGGTATTGGCAGACTTGAAATAAATTGTGTCCATGCATTATGTTGTAAGGTTGCAAATATAAACATAGTTCAACAGTCAGACATATCAGGGCCCACTTGCACAAAGCGATCTTAGCGCTAAGATGATCCCATACTTTAACCTAGGCTTACGAAAGTCTTAGCGCTAGGATCGCTTTGTGCAAGTGGGCCCAGGAAAGGAGATGTAACTGACAATCCTTTTCTTATTTGTGTTTGTTGTCTAATGCCACACTCGGCATAATTCCCTGCTTTGTGAGGGCCTCCTGTGAATAATGGAGTCAGTGATGCTGTAAAAAACGACCCACGCAGTCGGGATACGACGCCACGCGATCTATCATGTCATTGAAACTTGACCCCATTTCCCCTGATACATTTGGTCGCCTCTTACAACCAGCATGGTTGGCAGAAACCTATTCTAACATGGAATCCTCATGGGGGTTAGTGATAATACATACCGAACAAAACCAGTAGATATCCATCGCTGTATGATACATTGTCAGTTGACAAAAGACTCGTTATGTAACAAGTCATCGTCCCGGCCTCAGCTGCTGTGATGTTATACAAAGTAAAACTCAGTATATCATACTTAGAGAAGGAAATGATAGGCCAAAGCCTAATCCGTGCGACATACTGAGATGAGACCTTAACTCTTACATCCTCAATGACAACTATTTCTTGACCAAAGGAATTCTTAATCAATTGGACAGCGTCACGCAAAGGAGGCAGTTTCCATCTTATTTCCACTTCATGCCCTCCACTTGCCGTGGATGACTCTTTGGTTGAAACTGAAACAAAGAAGAATCAAAAGAATTACACACATTACACCTCATTTTTCGCATTATTTGATTTAAGCATCGCCAACCAAAGCATTAAAGAATGCACTGTGTCGGACAAACAAAGCTGGCATTATACTGATCAGGTGAACGTTTTTATGTCAAAGCGCAATCTAACACGAAGGATGGAGTTACTTACAATTGGTGTTCAAAATGTATGGTTCACTCCATTCTGATAGAAGACCATGTTCCACTTCTACTCGACAGGAAAATGTATCTCTAAACAGTGTTTGTTCCTTACGTATTGTAACACCGTTCGATAACCAGTCCTCACGTGATCGTGATGTGACCGAAAGGTTTGCTTGTCTTTCAATGGTGGTGTCACTTGTCCTCCATGTCATGGATATGTTCAGGAACGGGACATCTGGAAAGATCCGGGGGTAGGCCAAACATGTCAGATTAGCATCGTGTTTACCATGATGCTGAGAGACGATGTAAGGATTCTGAAGATCTGTATCAATAGGAATGTATACAGACAGTCTTAAGGATGGCTACTGGAAGAGTTTAAGCCGTGAATAACAGACATAAAAAATTGGCGAAAGTTGGCGATATGTACAAACAAGTGAATAAATTGAATTCACGACAGGGCATGATTCGCGTACGCTAGTAATGAATGTAAGTAGCATCGTTCTTTTAGCTGTTTTGTCACTATACCTGACCTCATACAGTGACGAATTAGTTTGTTTGTTGTTTAACGCAGCACTCAGCAATATTCCAGCTATATGACGGCGGACTGTAAATAATCGAAACTAGACCTGACAATTCAGTGATTGACATCATGAGCATCAATCCACGCAACATGATACGATGACATGCATCAACCAAGTCAGCGAGTCTGACCACCCGATCCCGTTAGTCGACTCTTATGACAAGCATGGGTTGCTAAGACCAATTTTATTCCGAATCTTCA